TACTTGGACTGTTTTTTGCAAAAAGGACCTAATAACATCGAAATTTTACCAAGATTTCGCAACCTCTTTGTTTACAATATATTAGGTGAATGACAGAAAAAACAACAGGTTTTATTTAGTTAAAACAGGTTTAGAAAACAATTCTTAGCTTAGAAATCGAAATTGAGCAAATTTTCAGGAATTTTTCTGCACGATACCAAGTGTTGCGCAATTAATTGTGACAGCAATAATTTCCGATGATATCAATTTCTTTTTGAAAAATGTGGTTTCGCTGTGCGTATGGTGAATTTTGCAATAAATCTCAATGGAGATCGATACCTTTAATTTAATTCTAATTTATTTTACTTAATATTATTCATTACTGATTATAAACAGGAGCTGCCAGTTGAGGGTAAGATACACGTTAAAATAAAAAAGAATAAAAAGTTAGATAGGTATAAATAAATTTTATTGGACCGTGCTGTGTAACATTTTACGAGACTTTCTCTATTCGTCTGACCTGGCATGTTTACTTATCGAAACACGATTTTGTATCACACGCTGAAGACCCTGGTTCAGCAATGGAACTTCCTATCTATACTATAAGCTCCAAGACCTCCTAATTTTGCAAAACTGGTGACGCTTAGTTCCAGCGTTCTACCGGGCCGATTTTCATGATTTTTGCGGTTATCGNAAAAAAAAAAAAAAAAAAAAAAAAAAAAAAAAAAAAAAAAAAAAAAAAAAGAACAATTAGTTTGGTTTTCCGCGGTCTATTTTGAAAAAATTATCAATTAAAATCGAAAAAAAACTTAAAAGAGGAACCGTCCATTTTTGATGGGTTAAAAAATCGATTCTGATTAAATATTCGGCAACCGAAATCAAGTTGGCTACAAAAAATTGTGTTGCCACTCCATGTGATTACATTCGACTTCTACACGTACACAAAACCTGACAACTCTCGATTTTTAATGGCTGCTTTATTCGGAGCGATCAGACAACCGTCTTGACACCTAACCTAGGACAACCTGACGAATTTTTTATAGCTCCAATTAGTTTGTCTTTTAATTATACTTGAAATTTCACACGGAGGTGGTTCACACTGAACTTGTGCCACACACACTTCAGTGGTCCGTTAACAAGCGGCTACTGCCGCATTCTTTCCAATTTGAGCTCGGGAGTAAATCATGAGTGATGTCCCATTTAGGACACGCTGCGAGATAAAATTACACATAGTGAACCGACGGATTAAGATTAAGGTGATTCGATGGACGCCATATTTTGTGTCAGAACGGCATGCGATATATCGCATCAATTGGTTCCATTTTTTCAGCTACTCGTCATTTTTCTCCAATTTTGAGATCGCAATTCTGTTGTCAGGAGATTAAAGCACTCACTTACCAATTTTAACAAATAAATTGAACGCGATAAAGGCGTGGTTTTTTCAGAGAGAAAATATCGCATTCGAGTGCAGTTTCGATATCGGTATCGAATGCGATGTTTTCTCTCTGAAAAAACCACGCCTTTATTACGTTGAATTTCTTTGTTAAAATTGGTAAGTGATTGCTTTAGTCTCCTGACAACAGAATTGCGATCTCAAAATTGGAGAAAAATGACGAGTAGCTGAAAAAATGGAACCAATCGATGCGATATATCGCATGCCGTTCTAACACAAATTATGGCGTCCATCGAATCACCTTAAGATTGCTTTAAAAGGAATATATTATTTAAACAGAAAAGATTATTTTAAGAGGAATATACAGGGTGTCTTCTAAAACAGGCTGGCCAAAAATCAGTACTTTTACGGTGCTCTTTCAGTACATTCCCATCAAATTCAGTACCTCCTCAAAAGAAAAATTCAGTACTTTCTCAATACCTCCATTTGACGAAATTCGAAAAATTTCGAAAATTTGAAATTCTCGCTCAAACTGCAACAATAATGGAAAAAAATCTGGACTTTCTCTCGGAATTTCCGCATTCCTTCAGTACTTCCTGACGACCTTTAAAGAATCAGCCTAACCAACCAACTAATGTAGTTGCCTTTACCACTACTAGTGGTGTTCCATATGGTTTATAAGCCATAGCTTTTTGTCAATACACTCAATATAAAAGAAGATGTAATTCTCTCTTGGAAAACGACCAAAAGTGGCAATTTCGTGTCGCAGAGCACTGGGGCGTGCCGATAAAATACTTTATACGCATTTAAGTCTCCGTAAACTACCCAATCAGGTTCTGTGGGTTGTTTTGCTTCTCTGCACATTCCATACCTTCAGACTCCGTATAATGATTGAACTAGACTAAAAATCAGTGGCAGAACTGGTAGATTCGAATTTTTCCATTTGACTCTTCCCTGTTTCTTCTCCTCCCTCCTCACGTGTCCTCGTCTTTCTTCTTTCGCTTCATCTCCTTTTCAGTTTTCTGTCAGAGAATTTTCATAGATCTTTCTACTCGACTTGTGTGTGTCCAACATTTTATCTCTAGACGCCGCGCCGCGCCGCGCCACGACTTCGCTGCTGAGTTCGCATGCATGCTATCAAAATACATGCATGAATTCTATTACGATACTATTAATTGAAGAGTTGATTATTTAATGTACTGGTCCAGCTATCGTAAAGTGGCCGAGACAGAATAAATGACACTTAATAGGCTTATATAATTGATACACGGATTTTCTTCTTCTTCTCGTATCTTTTTTTCTTTTACTTTGCTTTTCCTCCTTGCTAATACTTGTTTATTAGCAACAAAGTACACAATATTCCATCTATTTTGTACGGTAAAGGCCCCTTAGAAACTATTTTAAAGGATGCTGAGCTGGGCTCAACTCGTGCCTACATGCAAATTTTTAAAAATAAATTCGAAATACAATTTTACTTTGGTGACGGTATTCATTCCTTTTTCTAGACTTCTATTGACTATGCAGAGAGGATACCGAGAATACGTATTAATCCAAAAGGCATAAAATAAAAAAGAACCACGTGGAAATGGGTGAGAAAATTTGAAACTGCGAGCGAGCAGGCAGGCTTAGGAGAGTACCGCAAAATCACATCCAACGTGAGTCGAAATATTTTTGAGACTGTTAAAAAACATATTCCCTACAATTTTTTAAAAAAAATGTTTAAAATATTTTCAAAACATCTACATGTTTCTTCCCGCGGAGTATCCAAATCTTGTCTGCATTATCCAAATATTTTCAACATATTTCGAAAATATTTTCCACATATTTTGAGAATATTTTCCACATATTTTGAAAATATTTTCATTCTAAACTTCAAAAATTTTGCCGGGAGATCTCGTCAAAACATTTCATGAATGCTATTCGACAATTTTTTGTTCAAAATCATGCCTAATTTCGGGTGGAATGCCATCGTCATGGCATTATTTTTTTTCCTGATAATGGGAACGCAAAATTTGGGTTATGGAGGCGCCGGGTATCGATCCCGGTACCTCTCGCATGCTAAGCGAGCGCTCTACCATTTGAGCTACGCCCCCAGTTAACAACACTCACACGCAAACACCAATATAAAATCACCGATCACAAGAAGTAAAAGTGCGACTCACAAAGAGAGCTGCACCGCTGGCGGCAAAAATCATTTACGTTACCTTGATATTTAGTTCGCTCGTTCGAAACCAGATCGAGCTGAGTCAGCGCGCGGGCCGAGCGTGTCAACGGACGCGGAAAAAAGGCGGCAAAAGGGCGCCGGCTGATGACCGAGTAACCGAGTTATGAATGGAGTGGGGCGGGGCTAAGGAGCGCGGCCGAGGGGGGGGGGGGCACCCGTGAGGGTTTGGTCCTCCGGAGCCGGAGCGGTCCGTGACGTCATGACGCGTGGCGCGGTGCAACGGTGCACGCGGAATGCTCCGAATGCAAGAGCGAATTGACTGCACTCGTAAAAATCTTGGAGTGGAATCCAGAGATTTGGGAAGATTTAAGATTCGTACACATCACACTTGCCTCCACTAACAAATCAAATTGAAAGCTATGCAATTGGTGTTCAAGACATGGATTTGAAGTTACTTTTAACAAGGAGTGTCAGTCAAACTTCTTTTTAAATGAATTACCTGGCGAGGAGCTAGATCACAATGCCAAAAATAATTAAAATAAATGTAGAAATGATGAAATTTCAACTTTTTTTCCTTCTTTTTCTTGGAAGATGACAATACTTACTGTACCCGCGAGGGGAGTGAGAAAGTAAAAATGAATGGATCGTATTCGATGATGGTTCAATATTAGAAGCTGAAAAAGAATAAATTCCTTGAAATATCACTGTTCATTGCCTTGCAATATTCATAAGAATCAAAAATCAATCACGAAAACCGGTTCCTACAGATAACTCATTTGACTTTTGAGGCTATTTTTATATTTTGAACCAATCGATATCGATACTATCTCAGCGATGGCATGTCTAATTGGTGTATCGAACACGCGCATCCATTATGAGCGAGTCTAATCTTACTTGCAATGAGCACATCACATTCTCTTGCCAAAAGATGAAGACCCCCAAATAAAATGTAGTGATCCAAAAATGAACTGGAGTTAATTTTCCATTCTAAATGTTATGAAAGAAGAATAGTTCAACCCTTTTTCTTCTCCGTCGTATACTTTCCGTTGGAGTTTTTTAGCCATCGTGCGTAAAAAGTTCAGCTTAAAGCTGATATCTCACTACAGAGGGAAAAAACTCACACACAAGTACAATTTTCCCTCGAAGAGATACGCTGTTTGGTGCAACACTAGTAACAACCATTCAGGAAGGCAACTGCAACGCGTTTTGGCCTTGTTGGGCCAATCCTCAGTGCAGCGCAGCGCGTCTGTAGTGAGATATCAGCTTTAGGCTGAATTTCACGCACGTTGGCTAAAAAACTCCAACATACCGTCTTACGACCCGTGCGTCCACCGCAATTAGTTTGTGTCGTATACTTTGGTATGATATTAGTGAAAAGTTGCAATTTTTGGCAAGGCGTTCTATTAATTTCTAATCTAACAGAGGATGGCATTTTACAGCAAGGAATATTTTGTGTGATTTCAGGTCCTGTTGATCGAGGCTGGACGAAACGAGAACTACTTGTTCGACATTCCGCTGGCGACATCGTTTCTCCAGTTGACAGACGCCATCAACTGGAATTACACGCCGGAGCCGCAGGCCAACGGGTGCTTGGGTATGAAGGGTGGCAGATGCGCCTGGCCCCGAGGTGAGAACTCAACGAATTTCACTTATAAAACCGGTAAATTCATAGTCTGGTCATAAAAACTCCTCGACGCGAATATTCGAAAACAAATTCCTAGACTCAACCGTGTGAATTCCTCCATAAATCCGAAATAAACGAGCACAGGGTTGCCGAATTGGACTACATTTTGCAATTAGGAGCTATAACTTCCGGCCCGGTTAAAAAACAACGTACGTGCCATTAGTTTCCCTCTGCACGTAAGTGTTTTTTTAAATGAGCCAGAATTGATAGCTCCAAATTGCAAAATGCAGTCCAACTGGTATCGGGCTCTAAGCACATTTTACAACCGAGAAATTTTGGGTTGAATTTGACCACATTTTGCAAAAAGGAACCACGATTTTTGGCTCATTTTAGAAAGAACATAAATGCCATTGGTTTACCTATGCAGAGAGGTGCTTTTATGGAAGGGCCAGAGATAGTGGTTCCTTACTGCAAAATGCAATAGAATTGAAAATTTTATTTCATTTCAAGTAAGTACCATCCAAATGCCCGGAATATTAACCGATTCCGAGCTATCCGTCAAACCCATAAAATAATGGTCGATTGCCTGCCCTTTCTTTAGATTTTGAGGGTTTCGGGGGGAGTCTTTTAATTGGGCGGGGGGGGGGGAGTTGGATTCTCGTTTAGGACCTCCCATAGGTGTAAAATGCGGTGGAAAAAAGTTCCGCTTTTCAAACCGCATAAAAACACCGAACGACTGGGCTGTGTCAGGCACGGTCGGTCATAATTCAGAAAATCAAAAAATGACAGAAAATTAGCAACGTCGCAAAGTGAGTTGCAAAGTTTTGTGGTTTGGCCGTAGATATGCTCACATACCAGAATAATTGTCTCGTTGTAATTATAAAAGGTCGTCCTTAAGCGTAGCAGAAAGCCGGAGTCAAAACCAGACAGCTCATTTCGCCTTCAATTTTTATGATACTTCAAGCACACCCATAAAGCACGAATAGTGGTATCACAGCGCCGTATGAGTTCGAGAGACTTCTCTCATCTCTTGATTAATCTCATCTCAACGGTATTTCTTACGCATGTGTCTCGCTTTGATAGTGTCATGGAATTGAGGAAAACCATCAATAAGATAAAGTTTATCAAAAAGTCAGGGATAGTTGTCTCGTTTTGATGGAAAAAGTGATTTACAATTCCATGATTTCAGCCGTCTAGGAATTCACCATTTAAGTGTGGTCAGTCTAGGAGTTCACGCCTACCCATCTAAACTTAAACTTGCCCAACGCACTCAGGAAAAGACCATCCGAATTTTTCTTACCGGGTGTGACTTAGAACAAAAGGGTGATAACTAAAATTTTAGGAGTTAATTTAATTTTCGATGTGCCTAGGAGGGGTTTCTACATGTGTGAAGATATTTGGTGGAAATTTCTAACGCCAGACGCCCCCCCCCCCAAAAAAAAAAAAATCGAATTACATGCATTTGTTATGGGCAACGTGCGGACGTCCGGGTCTCGGGCAACACATACATTCCTATTACATTAAAGGCGCGTTCTGATTATGCCACGAAGTAGCTATTTTCTTTCTTGAGAGTAAATAGCATCATTCATTTGTAAAAAGCAGAGTTTCTTGTTTTTTTCGCAAATAACATGCAACCAAGCTCGGACTGACTATAAGGCCAATCTGCCATTGGCAGATACGCCGCCTTGATGCGCCAAAAACGCGCCCCTCTGACAGATAGCAAAATAAGAAGAGAAAAACATTTACGACCGAGAATATATGCGGAAAATTTCTAAAATGAACGGAGAAAGAGAGAGTAAGGAGTAAAGAGAGGTGCTTTTACGTATGATAGTGGTGAGCAGAGGTCCAAGAACTACTTTCTGAAGCGCAAACACTATTTTCTGTGAAATGTTCACCTTTTTGTTGACGTACAGGTGCTTTATTATGCCCCTCCTTCATTCGCTATGTGTAACTCCCTTAGAAGCGTTGGTCGGTTTGATTTTTAAGCATACGCATCCTTTATAGACCTCTCGAGAGACCCTCAAACATATTTCTTCCTTTTCAAAATGACTATTGATATGAACATACCATAGCGTATCTCGGGCAAACTTAACCTTATTTATCTCGAAATACAAAAATAAGAGACATCTAAAGTGTAAACGCGATACAACTATTGACGCAAGATGGATGTCTACATTTCATATGAAAAATGTAAGACACGATGGCGTGAGTCGTGAACTCGCAATGCTCTGCTCTATGCTACTAGTTTGAAGAATCGTTACGAATAAGAAAAGCGCAAACCAACACAATGTGGAAATAAAGCGAGGGAAAGGATCCACGTTAACGACGGCGCAGAGATACAACTATTCGTACTTGATGGACGTCCGTGCTGCGTCTGAAAAATTGAAGGCGCGATGACGCGAAGCGTGAGCTCTCAATGCTCTGCTATATGCTATCAATGAGGTGTCGCTCAGATTCGGGAGAAAAGTTTAAAAAGAAGCCTGAACACATCTCTCCTACTTTCGGCTGTGTTACTCACGAAGTGCTTGAAGCACCATTACGGATAAGACAAACGGAAACAAACACAATATGTAAATAGAGGGAGGGAAAGGATGCGCGTTTACGACGGCGCAGAAATACAACTATTCGTACTTGATGGACGTCGGTGCTGCATCTGAAAAATTGAAGGCGCGATGACGCGAAGCGTGAGTTCTCAATGCTCTGCTACATGCTGTCAATGAGGTGTTTCGGCGGAAAAGTTTAAAAGAGGCCCGAATACGTCTGTCCTGTCTTCGGCTGTGTTAATACTCGTTATCTTTCTTCTTTTTTCAGTTTCTTGTCTGAATCTTTTTCAGGATAGATTTGCAGACCCACGTCTTAAGCTCGTGTAAACCACAGCACTGGCTCGGTTCTTTTAGAAATAACGGTGCTTGGATGCGTCTAGTGGCTTTAATTTTTTATGTTTTCTTAATTTCAGAAGTCTGTCGGTTACGTCAATACGTTCAATTTTGCAATTTTTACTCTGTATGATTAATAAACTTTGAGTCTGAAAATAGCGTAAACTTGTGCTGCTTTGTCAAAATTTTCTGAACTCCCCTCCATGTAGGGTAGATGCCCTACCAGGAAATATTACATTATGCCCCTTTAACCAGCCAAGGGTCTACGCCCTCAGATGCGAGCCAGTCCGACCCTGCATGTAAAAACATTTCTCAATGAGCTTCGCTGCATCGATTCCGTGGAATGTAATCTTTGTCGTAGAAGTTATGTTTTTTATGAAATACTTGCTTCAAAGTCGCCATACATCACATTAGTAGAACTTTCACAAGTGAGAATACATTTTTCAATTCACTAAAATTAGGAGCATGCACATTTTTGCGATTTAAAGAAAAAACTCACAGATTTACAGCACAAGTACGCTTAATCTCATACCTGAAACAAGAGAGAAAACGGCAAAGTTAGACAAAATTGTGTAATTGACAAAAATACAATAGATTGAGGCTAAAACGCAGTGTGCTACTTAACCATTAGGTCCAGCAGGCTTTAGGCCAAAATATCAGGGTGGAGATCAGGCTTTCATCGGCCCCAAAACTGAGTTTGACTTGATGCCTGAGTTTTTCCTATTGTGAGTCATAGACCGGGAGGTTGCCGTTATTTTGGTATGTAACTTGGAAATGGACGACATTTTCAAAATCGACGGAACTTTTCATCTTGATTCGGAAAACCGAGTTCCGTCATGGCCGCACCCGTTGCAGTCCGCCGAAACAGGGCTCTTAAAGGGCTTGACATATGCAAGAGCTCCATTTATTTTACCGTGGGGCATCCCCTCGATATCACGAAGTTTGAAACTGAATCTGCACAGGGTTGCCACAGGATTTAGAAAATAAAATTCCCTGACATTTGCCTGATTTTCCTGACACATTTTCGCGAAATTCCCTGACAATTGAAGATGTGACAGATGGTTAAGAAGGCATAATTGAAAATAGTTTTCAGGCCAAATTTGTTGTTCGAAACCTCAAACCCAATTCTAGAAAGCAAGTGAAGGTGATTCGACACATTTTCCCTGACATTTTCGTCATTTTTGTCATTTGCCCTGACATTTCCCGGTTTTTCCTGACTTTTCAAAATTCCCTGACACTTCCCGGCAAACTTGTGACTGTGGCAACCCTGAAGAAGACATAATTGAAAATAGTTTTCAGGCAAAGTTTGTTGTTCAAAATCTCAAACCCATTCCAGAAAGCAAATCGACGGTGTAAGTCGGCAATCACATAAATCGTTTAAGGTGTCTGAAAATCTCCGCCTCTGTTATTTTTTTAAAGGAGAACCAATTGACATCATTCCTTGAAGTTTATGCAGAATTTTCTTCACAGAGACAAGAAAAATCACGGCAGTTTTAAAGAATTGCCGTTGAGAAGTTTTCCGTTTAAAAAATAAAGTATGACAGGAAGTCTGCGACGTCGCAAACCGAGTTATGTGATTGCCGATTTACACCATCGAAATGAAGGTGATTTAACAAATTTTCCCTGACATTTTCGTCATTTTTCCTAACATTTCCCGGTTTTCCCTGACTTTTTAAAATTCTCTGACATTTCCTGGACATTCCCTGACTGTGACAACCCTGACATGCAAGAGCTTCATTTATTTTATCGTGGGGCATCCCCTCGATATCCCAAGGGTTGAAACTGAAATCTCTGCTCCCCCGTTTGTTGGCAGGGAAAGTAATGGGCGGTAGCAGCGTGCTGCACTCGATGATCCACACCCGGGGCGACCGGCGGGACTACGACGCCTGGGCCAACGCTGGGAACCCAGGCTGGACCTACCAGGAGCTCCTGCCCTACTTCAAGAAGTCCGAGGACATGCAGATCCCGGAGCTCCAGCGCGACACCAAGTACCACTCCGTCGGCGGCTACTTCACCATCACCTACCCCGTCTACCACACAAAACTCGCCGAGGCCTTCGTCCGCGGCGGCAAGCAGGCTGGCTTCAACATCTCAGACTACAATGCAGAGAGCATCTCTGGGTTCTCCTACATCCAGGCTACCATCAGAAACGGTAAGAAGCCCTTCGAGGACCCTAAAGCATTTGGACGTATTTCTGTTAAACCAGGGTGTCTACTAAATCAAGCTGGTCAAAAATAAGTACTTTTACAGTACTTATCCAGCAGTATATTCGCGAGAAATTCAGTACCTCCTCCAACAGAAAAATTCCGTACTTTTTCAGTGCCTTCATTTGACGAAATTAGAAACATTTCAAAAATTTGAAATTGCGACAAAAATGAAACAAATTTTAAACATTTCGGACCTTTTTGCGAATTTGCGAATTTTTCAGTACTTCCGGACCGCCCTTGAAAAATCAGTACTATTTCCGGACTTGTAGACACCCTGGTTAAAAGGAACTAAGCGCCAAATTGAGTTCCTTTTGAGGAGTTTAGAATCCCGGATAGCGCGTTCTGTCAGAAATTGAGAAAAACATTGAAACTAGAAAATTTCACCGACTTTTCTCCCTGCTGCCGATAAAATTCAGTGAAATTTTCAAACAGATTGAACCAACAATTTTTCTGTAAAAAAATTAAATTTCGAAACGTAGAGTGGCGCTTAATTGTGATGCTTTGGCCGGAGGATGACAACAAGAGTGCGTTCATAATGGGTGATCCATAAGTCCCTCACTACCAACATCAGGCATCATCCCTGTAATCTTTGGGGGAAAAAAAAAATGAAAAAAGCAGAAAAAAAAATAAAAATTGAGGAAAGCATCCTGGATAGGATCTTGAGATTTTCGAGGTATTTTGTGCTTAAACTGGCTGAGAAATGAAATCAAAGAATTAGTGCAAGCTTGACAGCCCCAGTTTGTGCGTGAAGAAGAGCCTTCACTTAACCAATTGCTCGACTTCTTGGTCATCAGTCACTATTAGGAAAATCTGAGCATTGACTTCTGAAAGTTACATGGATTGCATTTTGCAAAAAGGAACCACTAGCATTGCAATGTTGGTAAGATTGTGCAACTTCTTTTGTCTTGGACGAAAAACCCAAGTATCCCTTAATAGTTTCTATTTTACTCGCTAAAAACTGTGAATTTAAGACAAAAATTACCATCTAAATTTTATAGTATTTTTCACGATTTCCGCAATTTTATTGCAAAGGAGGACGTTGCACAATCTTATCATCATTGCAATGCTAGTGGTTCCTTTTTGCAAAATGCAATCCAGTTGTTGCACTAGGTACCACAATTAATTGATGGGAATGGTCCACACCATCCATCGGGTTAGGCGCAAACCACTGACGTCCATTTTCCAAGTTTTAGGTTTCTTCGATATAACTAATACTTTTCAAGATCCACGTTTCTCATTGCCTCAAAATGACCTTCTAAAGGCACAAAATGCCCAATGACGTTGGATCGCGTAGCGCCCAGAACACCCTGATAGCCATTTGTGACTTCCTAACTAGTCCCTACATCTGTCTTCTAGGTACACGACTGAGCGCCTCTCGGGCCTTCCTGCACCCGGTGCGGAACCGGCCGAACCTGCACGTGCTGAAGAACACGCTGGTGACAAAGATCATCATCGACGAGGAGACGAAGAAGGTGCGCGGCGTGGAGTTCGTGCGCAATTCGCAGCGCTTCCGCGTCAAAGCCACCCGCGAGGTCATCCTCTCGGCCGGCGCCGTCAACTCCCCGCAGCTCCTCATGCTCTCCGGGGTAGGGCCCCAGGACCACCTCAAGGAGCTCGGCATCCCCCTGCTCAAGGACCTCCCGGTCGGGTACAACCTTCAGGTAGGCATCGGAATCTTTTGAATTTATTGAAAATATGCGGCAAAGAATGGAGCTGTAGCATGCCACGGAGATGGACAACTGGATCGCATTTAGCAAAAAGGAACCAAGATCATTCCAATGTCGCTAAGATGGTGCAACTATTTTTACCTTGCAAATATAGACTGATCATCTAAACAAGTTTCATCTTTATTCCCATAAACTATAAATTCAAGACGAAAATTACCTTTGTAAATTTAATTTTGTACATAGCTTCGGTAATTTAATTGCAAATAATGTAAGTTGCACAATCCAAGCAACATTGGAATGCTCTTGGTTCCTTGTTGCAAAATGCAATCCAACTTAAATACTATATCCGACATAAAATTTCGCCAAAATCAAACCTTCGATCCATGTTCAGGACGTTATTGGATCCGAAAATAGACCAAAACTGACCAAATCATAATATATTTCGTAAAATATAAACCTTCCATTCGCAAACAATGGAGATGTCGCATGTGTGAGGAATTTCCGATTTGACTGTTGATTTTATATGTAAAAATTTGCGAGAAACACGATGGTGTCTCTGGTTTTCTCTGAGATCAACTCTCAAGCTCAAAAAAAGCTATCAAAGTGAGGCCAAAATGGAGGGGATATCCCATATCCCACCCTACCCTGAGAGTCCACCTCTACATCAAGACAAACTCTCCATGCAAAGATAGGGAGCAAATACATTGACAGGGCTGCCACTATATTTGGGGACTTCAAAACTGAAAACACGGCATCACTGCTGCGGCATCAACTTGAGAGTTTTTTTGAGCTTGAGAGTTGATTTCAGGGAAAACCATTTGCACCATCGTGTTTCTCGTGAACTTTTACAGAAGAATCAACAGTCTAATCTTAAATTCCTCACACATGCAACACATGCAACATCTCCATTACAGACGTGCGGAAATTCAGCGAGGGTGCCACGGAAAAAAGTATCACAATCCCAACTACGTTCCAGGCTGATTTTGGCGTCAGATGTAAGAGTAGCTGCACCAGTCAGAGGTAAGGTTGAGTCCGTCAAAAGTGTGGTTGGGTCAGCCATACCTTTAGCTAGCGAAATCAGCCAGGAGCATAGTTGGGATCGTGATCCTTTTTTTCAGTGATGGATCCAAAAATATCCTCACCGATATCCTTCCTTTAAAAACTGTAAGTATTTATTTTAATTTTGGCATTTCTAAAGACGCTTTCTCACTCATCCACAGGACCACATTGCTCTTGGTGGCTTGACTTTCCTGGTGAACAGTACCGTCTCGATCAAGATGGAGAGGATACTGCGAAGCGCCAAGGCACTGAATGACTATGCCTTATACAAACGCGGACCATTGGCCGTTCCCAGTGGATCCGAAGCCATTGCCTTCATAGACACCAAAAGACCTTTTGACCCCGACGGCTACCCTGACATTGAGTTCCTCTTCATCGGAGGAAGCTACCCCTCAAACCCCCTTCACAGGTATTTTTCGATTTATATTTGTATTGATTAAATGCGCCTACATGTAAAAAAATACCAAAATTTATTCATCATTTAGGATCGATTTGGAACCTGTAGCGCATTTTAAAAATCATCAAGTTGCTTTTTGAGAGTAAGACACTCTTAACTCAAAGCCTTGGATAGATTGAGTTTAGCAGGCGCGCATCAAGTCGCAACGAGTTTAACCAAGAAAAGGAGACTCAAAGTTACCAACAAATCCTTGCTCTTCTGACCTAAAGCCGTACCTCAATTTCCACTTACTTGAACCATATTTTACGTATAAAGCCATGCTTTCTGGAGCTCATGCGGAGATCGAGATACGCCCTTCACTGGAAAAAAAAAAAAAAACACATTGGATCTAGAGTCCAGACTCTCGAAAACATTGACAAGAAAAAATACTCTTGATTCAATCGGATTTTTGCTTGAATCAAAACGAAATCCGCTTTAAAGAGGCTTGGTTCTTGATTTAAGCTAGATTCTGATCGAGTCAAGAGTACTTTTTCTTGTCGATGTTTTTAAGAGTCTGGACTCGCGATCCAATGTGTTTTTTTCCAGTGTTACGTCAATGGCAATACAAGACTTTCATGCTAAGGACAAATTTTAACTACAAAATTCGTAGTCAAAATATATTTTTCTAGACTTTGAGTTTTGCTAGGATAAAATTAACGACTACTAAAATAAACAAGCAGTGAGCTCCAACACAATGTGTTGATAAGGCGCGTCATTAACTCGCACATATCAACCCCTTTAGGTTTCATTTACAGAGATTTCAAAAAAGGCAAGCAGCACAACAAGAGAATTCACGATCCAACACTGCAAGGTCAACGACGCACCTTGACGAGACCGTGTATTGTGAATCTAGAAAGCTATTCGAACAAATTTAAGTTTTTTGATCTGCCTCAAGCAAAATCTTATCAGATTCTTGAAGAAAAGTGCTACGGAAAAATTTAAGCGAAGAAAGGAAAAATTCTGTCGAACTCCTAGAAGATAAAGTCGACTTAAAGGTATTTTGGGGCTAAAATACCCAAATCACCGGTATTATAAATCCCGTTATATTATTGAAAAGAATTTGACTCGATATAAATGCAATTGTATTAAATATGTCTTGATTTTGTTATTTTAAACGCCTTTTCATGCAAAGAAGCTCAACCATGTCCATGCTTTATTCATTCATGAATTGAATGTAAGCAATCCACATCCCGAAAATCTACCGATTTGCCGTAAAAATCGCAGAAACTTGATATACCAGGTCGATGTACCCACTCTTTGAATTTACCAATCAATTTAGTGAGTGCACGTATGTGAAAGTCAAAATGCTATAGTCATTTTGGGTGCATTCATTTTTCATGAAACAATTGTTAGTAATTTTAATCCCGAAAAACCATAAATTTTCCGTATAAAATCGAAAAAATCAAAATATGTCGACTCCCTGACGTGAAAATTAAATTCTACGTGTGAAAATACTTATGTATCGATATGCTGAACAGAATGCTCGCATCTCCTCGTAATTTACAAACCGTTCCTATACTCATCTCAACATTTTTCTCAGAGCTTTGTGTTGTAATCAGCTTCCATTTAAACTCCGGTTTGATGGCCGAATCGGCTGCCCAAAAAGCAAGCCATTTTTGAAGGGCTTTTTGAAGGGCTATTTTTCTTATTAAAAACTAAGAAAAATATATAATTACGTAGTAATTATAAATAAATACCAAAACAATTATCAATAGATGTCAAAGACTGACTGAAAACTTTTATTAACCTCTTATGTGAAAATATACATTTTATCAGCTGACACTGACAATGTTGTCAGATGAACAGCACTATCAGAGCACGGATACCAACTTTTGAAAAGTATAATCGAGGTTACAGATCTGTCAAAGCAACGTTTTGAACAAAACGGAGGAGTTAAATTCTCATTCCGAGAGTGCCGACCTGCTCAACCATCCTCGAATCAGTTCGCTTGATTCTGCTTATATATGCATATTTTAAATCAGCGCGTCGCATTCTTAGGCTTTTTTTAAAAAAACCAAGTAACGTAGACTCTTGGTATTCACTGCACATAAACTAGAGACCCCCAGAATGAGAAACAACTTTAAATCATAATTATTGACGGATAAATAAACTTTTTACACGCTTTGGAAAATCTGAGAAGTTCGCGGTAGTCACTTTTCGGTAAGGAACTAAGGGACTCGGTTATTGTATCGAGCAGGGTTCGAAACGATCGCAAAGGCGGTATACTACGTATACGCGCCAACAGCTACTCCTAAAACATTTCTATCTGAAATGCTACTTGATGCGATTCTGTTTAACTGCAAGCCGCTCAATTATATTATAGGGATTAAAGTTTCTCGAGTGTCAGAAATGGTGACGGAAATTTCCAAGAGCATTCCTGGAGGCTCTTCAAAATGAGGGAGTCATTACCATGTTTACGTGTCTTGCCTCTAGGTCGAAGTTCTTCGGGAACGTAGGTTTCAGGAAAGAATTCCAGAGAAAATGCATGGACATTTTCTCTGGAATACTTTCCTGCGTCTTAAGTGTACAGATGGAAGTGGATCGATCTTAACACTCAATCTACTACTCAATAACTCAATCAATTTGAGGTGCCTCGCACTCAAACTCCTAGTCCATAAACTTTCGAGCAAACGCTCTTTAATTGCTGCTGTTAATGTAGCTCAAGAGGTCGTGAATTTGGATTATAAATTTGTGATTACCAAGAAAATCAGAGAAATATTAAGGCACTCTTTGGACGATGAAATTATGGGCAGTTATCGTTAAGTACGAATATTGCTAATTCTCAATCGCCATGAATTAGTAGCCTGCGCGATATTTTTTAATGGTGAGGCGAGGCTGTGAGTATCATCAATCCGCATTTATGATCTCCAGTAGAGTTCTCGCCAAAATTCGTCTCGGAAAATTCCGGATTGAAAATTTCCAAGCATGATGAGTTCCACTTAGCGCCGCTCGTGCCAATAAAAGACAGCCCGTAATTTCATCGATTTCATCGTGTAACGTGAGATTGCCTAATTATCTGAGTGAGATCAATGGCACATCTCTGCAAATTGATCATGTCATATTTAGTTAGTTAATAGTTGTAAAGACAACATCGTTGATTTGTGTGGATGTGAGGGATCTCCTAGAACCTCCCTAAATCACGATGTAAACCATAAAAAACCTCCTAGGGCAAAGAGCTGTTTAAGGAACGACTAAGAACGGCCCTGTACTGCCGTATTAAGGAGAAACGCCGAAATAGCCTTCAGACGTCACCATACTTCCTTTAATAAATAACGAATCAACTGGGAAAGATGTGAATATTCTTCATCAAATCGGACAATGCATGTGTTTGCAATTTAATCTAAAATATCTAAATTTCAAGGGAAATTTCGCATGAAATTCTTCAAAAATACATATTTTATTCGAAAAAATTTGAAAACTCTCGAATGTTCTTACTTCGTTCTTTCTTAGCACGGCAGTATATCATCCCTGCAGTAATTTTGTTGGACAAGCACAAGTGAAACCAGAGGGAGCGCCTTCAATTCATTCTCATACCACACGTGCATCCATCATCCACCCATATTCTACTTAATATCTGACAACATGGATTTCTACAGGTACATATTCCGGATCGAAGACACGCTGTACAACAAGGTGTTCCTGCCGATCCAGAACCAGGACGCGTTCATGGTGTTCCCGATGCTGATGCGGCCCAAGAGCACCGGGCGGGTCATGCTCCGCTCGGCGAACCCGATGGCCAAGCCGCTGCTCTTCGCCAACTACCTCACCGTCCAGGAGGACGTGGACACCCTCGTGCGCGGCGTCCGGTGGATGCAGAGGGTCGCCGAGACCCCGGCCATGCAGAAGTACGGAGCCAAGATCCACTCCATCCCCATCCCCCAGTGCGAGCACTTCGGCTTCGACACCGACAAGTAAGTATCAACCCTTCTATCTAAAACTTATTCTTATATCGTCACCTTCGCCTTCCGGCCAAAGTATCACGAGTGCCATGCGAAGTTCCAAAATTACCGTCGCCATTTATTTTTTTACAGAGAGATTGTTCAACGAACCTGTCCGAAAGTTTCACTGAAATTTCTTTGTGCTGCCGATAAAATTCAGTGAAATTTTCGAATAGATTCAAACAACAATTGGACTGCATTTTGCAATTTGGAACTATAAATTCTGCCTCTTCTGGAAAAACACGTATGTGCTTAGGGAAACTACTGGCACATACGTTATTTTTAAACCGGGCTCGAATTTATAGTTCCAAATTGCAAAATGTAGTCCAATTTCTCTGTACAAAAATAGAATGGCGGCGGAAATTTTGAAACATGGCATGGCGCTTGTGAACCAATAGCCGGTAGGTCCTCTTCTTTTTCTCGTCATTCTGGCAACAAGCTGGAACCAATCGCACATTTTGCAGAGATTGCCAGCATTTTCAAATGAAACCGTACATTTTTCCACGAGGTAAATCGAAAATTTTGCTGCGCTGCAAAAAACGCTGGATCGTTAGAGACGGTCTGCGTTTTGAAACTTTCGCTCAATTACAAAATGAATTTTTCACTCGCTCATCATAACAAAAGTGAGCATACTGTTGGACATAGGTTGAGTTCTCGAAGCTCACACAGTTTCCGTGGTGTAGTGGTTATCACATCCGCCTAACACGCGGAAGGTCCCCGGTTCGATCCCGGGCGGAAACAAACTTTTTATACCCAAGGCCCAACATATGATTTTCGTTAATACCAATCTTTTACAAATAATAAACTCCATTTCGTCCGACAGAATGGAATTTTTTTTTGTTTCGGCTCCGTTCCGATTGATGGAAAATATAAGATTTTAGAAATGAGCCGTAAAAATTTAACGGAATTGTGAGTGATGGTTGACTTTAGCCTTACTTAAATGAGATCTCGTCGTCCCCCTGACATGAGGGTGTACCTCAATTTTCACGTGAGCCCCAGTAGCGTGGCGTGAATTGCGATAAATCGATTGTTATGCCATTTAAACCTATGGTGCAGAATCGATTATCAGGGCGTTCGCTGCGAACACCCTGTATATCGATCCTTTTCCATAGGTTTAAATGGCATAACAATCGATATATCGCAAAGCACGCCACGCTGCTGGTGAGCCCTGTTTTCCATAAGACTCCATGCTGTCCAAGGCTCACGTGGAGATAGAGATACGCCCTTACGTCAGGTTACGGGAACGACGATTTGCAAGTGCAAAAAGAACTGTTACCGATGCTCACGAGAGATTACACTTATTTTTACACTTATTCATGCATTTCACTTGAATACAATTAAGATCCAAAATTTTCCCTCCACTTCCTGATCTCAATACCATACTTTCAAAGTTTTTTCATGAAATCCCTCTCTTTTTCAAACGAATTAAACTTCAAATTTAATGTATTCTTTCCTTGTCCTACCTTTTAATTTTGTGTGCTACCCTTTTGTGATCCCTACTTTTTAAATGTTTTAAATTCTGTTCTATACACTATTTTGATCTCCCTCTAAGGTGTTAACAGTGTGGAAAAATTTCATGAAAAATAAAATATTGAAATTTCAGAAATTTATGAAAGATATTAAAAAATACCAGTTCGGTTTCATGTTCCACAAAATGTAAACATAATGAACTTCTTCGATTTTTGTGTGTTTGAGTGCGGGTTGCACACTCTCGCCCTTGAAAAAGGTGAAATATTTCACAGCCTCGTGAAATTTCATGAAATATTTCACTGAAATTTTCAATCTTTCATTTCTTTCTTAAATTTCATGCCACCCTGCACTGAGAAAACACTATGGCTTATAAACCTATTAGAGGTAAATATGGAACACCACTAATAGTAGTACCTCTACATATAATAATAGCACATATACCTTAGTTATGGTACGTGTACCTTAATTAGGTACAGAGACCTTAGTATGGTTCACAAACCGAGAATCATTAGTTTATTTACGACTATTATAGGTGTTCCATATTTACCTCTAATAGGTTTATAAACCATAGTTTTTTCTCAGTGTGGGGAGTTAATGACCCAGATGTTAAAAGCACCTTTAAATAAACGTACCTACCAACCAACCTATTTCCTTTCTAGCTATTGGGGATGTCAGGCGAAGCACTTGACACAGACGATCTACCACTTGTCGGGGACGTGTAAGATGGGCCCCGAGTCGGACCCCCGCTCCGTCGTGGACGCCCGACTCAAGGTGCACGGAATCAAGGGGCTGCGCGTCATCGACGCCTCCATCATGCCTGACGTCGTCACGGGACACACCAACACGCCCACCATCATGATCGCCGAGAAGGCCTCCGATCTCATCAAACAGGACTGGATGAGGCTCCAGTGACCCCACCACTACAGCCGATAAAAGGTTAGTTGCTTTGATTATCATACTTTTCAGTGCCGCCATTTCCCAAAATTAATCCCGAATTTTGGAACTTCCCTTGGAATTTTCGAAATTCCCGGAATTTCCAGCTGTTTCCGGAATTCTTCTGGGAATTCCGGGGTTTCCCATCAGTTTGACCAATTATTGGATCGAATTTGATGATTTTTTGGTCAAATTTGACGATTTTAGGAACTAGATCCGGGCGTATTTTAGAATTTTTTCCCGGATCTTTAGACAAAAAATCGGAGCTTTTGGAAATCGGAATTAATTTCGGGAGTCCAAGAATTTTTGTTAAAATCAAATGGCAGTACTGACTTTTGGAGAACGAGGGGGGCGCGACCTGGGCGCTTCGCGATCCAACCCTCCAAGCACTTCGCGCCTCAGACGTATGGGTTAAGGTATAAGAACCCCGAGTTCTGGAATGAAACCGGTAGCTGGAATTTCTCTGAAGTTTCGCTGGAATAAGCTTTTGTGATAGAATAGTGGATGGAGCATTATGTTTCCATTAAGTCTTTTTTCTTGTCGATGTTTTTAAGAGTCTGGACTGTAAATCCAATGTGTGTTTTTTTTTTTTTTTCCAGTGAGTATTAAAATTGACACAATCCTTTAAAATTGACAATTTCTTGGTGGAAAGCAAAGAAAATATGCTATTTTGAGAGATTTTTCAAATAATTATGATGAATCGTGATTTTTACAACATTGTAACCGCACTGGTTCCTTTTTGCTAAATGCGATCCATATGAGGAGTCAGGGAACCACCACACGATGTTAGTGTGGGGTCTCTAAAATATCTCGTCTCCTTTGAAAAGAGGGTGGGAATTTTCGGACTACTGGGCGGAATGGTTATGCAACGGTCATGACACGATGATGTAACACCGAGTAAAAATACCCGAAATCTTTACTGGCCTGACGCAACGCGATCGCCAATGCTGCGATCAGTTTTGAATTAAATCACGTCACACGTGCTTAAATCTCAAAGCATAGTACAACTAGTCCTGCTCTTAATTACTCCGGTCGACTGGTGACTTCTACACTCGATGCCCGCTCCAGTTTTCCTGAAATCCACTTGAAAATTCCACTGGAATCCGAATCGAAGCCGCTTGATCTCTTTAAAGCAGCATTGACCGTCGCTTACCTTCAAAAACTTTATGAAGTACTGGTCCGTCAGCCACGCGCGCAGGGTTGCCGCAATGACGTCGTCCCTCTCACGTAAGCTGTTGTATACGAAGGGAAAACGTCGTATGAGCCTTCAGACGTTTCCAAATTTCCTTGGATACAATACGAATTTATAGGGAAACTCGAGGCCATTGAGGCCAATTTTTGGACCCTCCTCCCCCATAAAAGCCAACCGATCACCCCTCTTTTCAATTACATATGAGATGCGTCTAACTATCCCCTCTCACATTCATGCAAAAAACGCATTATGGAGGGATCCATTGGCTGGTTTGATTCAAAAAGTTCAAAGGTCCATGTATTGTGTTTTTATTTTTCAAAAGTTTCATAGTTCACATGTGTATAAGTTCACTTCCTTACGTACATTTCATGACAACTTTTTTTTTTTTTTTTTTTTTTTTTTTTTTTTTTTTGGTGGCATTAAATTCATTATATGGAAACGATCAGAACTTTTCATAACCATTTTAGGAGCCTGCTTCGAAGGGGGAACTTGCGCAAGTCAACCGCGCAATAACGACACAGCGTTCTTAAAAAGATATTAGACAGCATTTTAAGAAAAATATATGACGATTAATGATGGATTACGATTAATAGCCCCTGAAAAAAATTTTTTTAAGACATAAAAGTTTAGCGACACAAAAATTATTGGCGTCATTGATTCTATCACCTGCATGAATGCAAAACGATCATGCAAAAATAAACTGCCAGATCAGTTGGAACGAATCACCTTTTTCACTCTTAAGAGGCTTGACAGTGGATGTTGAACATAGAAAAAATTATGATAATTTCAACTATATTCTTGAATAGACTTTGCCCCACTCAGAATTGTGATTGCACCTGCTAGAGGTGCCGATCAACCAGCGAAGTATAGTTGACTTGACAACATTAACTATGCAGCTGCAATTTGAATTCACCCCCAAAAACAGCGAGCTGATTGTTGAAATTGATAGACAAAGAAGACATAAGAAGTATGGAGCGATCCTATTAGTTACGTTGAGTGTTTCTTAAAACACACCAAGGGAGAAAATAATGATCTAACTATAGGGTCTCCTGTGGGGAGCCGTCAGTTAGTCTATTACCTACCTCCTTTGTCCATTGCAACCACCTGATTACACCAAGGATCCCTCCATATCCTTTTTGTATTCATTGGTGATAGGTTAAAATATCCAATATAAGAAAAGTTCATGAGTAAAAAATATCCAAGTACCTGGAATAAGCGCTTCCACCGCCAAAATTAAAAAAGCCCAAACGTCCGTTTACTGTGAGTTATAATTAATATTACTTACCATTTACCTTTTGGTATAAATTCTCCAAACTTTCCACATCAGTTTCGTCTTAAGGCTCGTTGCTAACTCGATCATAAAAAGCTATATTCCCCGAGGATATCGTGGAATATTGTCTTCATCTTTAAATTCTTGATACCGCTGGATGCGCTTGAGGATTCTGTTCTGATTTGATTATATTCTGATTTGTTCTTGACTTCTTTGAAATTTGTTGCTTAGTGCGGTTACGACCCAAGTCCAGTCACATGTTGGGAAAACTGTAAATCACCGTTGTTTTTGGCCTTAATACCGCTATTGGACATTCCAGATTTTTGGACTTGTTTAAGATATGGACTTTTTCAACTTTGGACATTTACCTTTGGACATTTTGTCCTATTATCTTTCCATTGTCTATCGCTTTGTCTACTAATTTCAAAAATCTGCCCGCAGATTGAAAAGGACCATCAAAACCAAGAATTTCTGAGAGTGAAGGTAAAGCATCATCTTATGGTGGAATATCTGATATTGGCTGGTTGACTGTTTCTGGTCCGTCCCAGTTTAACAATTCAACGCGGAGCATTTTACGAGAGGAGTTTAAGGTTAATTAATAACGCGGACAATAAACCAGTCGGAAACTAAGACTCGCGAGAAATTGGGGCAATAAAACGCGATGCGATAAGTCGCATATGTTTCCGTGTACTGACTTGTACCTACCTGTCCTGTTGCCACAGTTCCCATGTTTACATTCATCGAACCTTGATCGTGAGCATGGCTTGACGAGTACTTGAAATTTTAAAGGTCAATGCTATGACAAGTTCAGTAGAAAAAATTAACTTATAGAAGAAAATCCTGAATCGAGTTCCTTGAATTATTCATGGATAAAGAGCTTCGACTAATGTGCAACACGAAAGTTTCCTTTTGGAATTGTTACCTGCTTGTTGTTCCTGATCTAGTTTTGTCCGATTTTTTACTATTGGACGATGGCCATTCGGGAGTTGGCAATTTATTTTTTTACATTTCTTAAGGTGCTTCGTCAAGCTCATGTGACGTGGTCGAACTGACATGCGATATATCGTATCGAATAGGTCAAAAATCTCGGCAGATTTTGAATTTTTGGCAAAAAAAAGGACGATAGCCCCTGCGCATAGGCATAAAGAATCATTTTAAACCCAAAAATCGGTAAAATTCAGAGAAATGAAAGCAGAATAGTATTTGGAAAAAAACCTCGCATTCGATACAGCTAGCGATATCTGTTCCGAATGCGAGGTTTTTTTTCCAAACGCTATTCTGCTTTCATTTCTCTGAATTTTGCCGATTCTTGGGTTTAGAATGATTCTTTAGGCTTATGCGCAGGGGTTATCGTCCTTTTTTTTAGCTAAGAATTCAAAATCCGCCGAGATTTTTTACTTAATCGATGATATATATCGCATGTCAGTTCGACCATGTCACTTGAGCTTGACGAATCACCTTAATATAAATATGTTTAAGTGCTGTTTTATTAGTACAGCACTTCAATATTATTAAATATATTCTTCTATACCCCTACTTTGCTAATATTAATGTTCGTTTTAGGGGTTTCTCATCTTCAGGTCCTTTGTTTCTTTTTGATCACTCCTTGTTACGTCCTTTGCGTTCGAGCTTCATTCCTGGTAGTGAATCATCGCGAACACATGAAACTCGTCTGAGATGTAGGATCGTGCTTGATTATTTTCGTTTTATCGTATGTTATTCTCTCGATAAAGCTCATCGCGGCTCAACAAAACCAGGGATGAAGCTCAAGCACAAAACAACCTCACTAGGAGTGATCAAAAAGAAACGAAAGACCTGAAGATGAGAAACACATCTTCCGAAATAGTCATCGTTCAATAATAAAAATTGGGACAAAACAAGGAGATCAGAAATAGCAAGCGGGTAAAAATTATCATAAATCCTGATAAAAAAGAAAAAAATCAACAAAATATGAAAGTTTTTACTCAAAGCAGAAACAATATATTTTAGAGACTCCACAGCTACACTTACAATCTAGAAAGATAAGACTTTTAAATTCTTTTATTTTTTTTTCAGATGCTGCTGACTGAAGAAATCAACATGAGATCCGATTGCGAAAATCCGAACAGCAAAAAATGCGTACAGGTGGGCGGCCCTTGGCGATGGAAGGGATAATTAAATCAAAATTACTAGTCGAAGCGCACAAGAACAATCAGGACTCTAGTCGTCATTCATTTGAAGAGAGCGGGACAATTTTTGCATTTTGCGAAATTACTCTTCATGTCATCAAATATATAGAACATTGAAATGAAGAGCCTCCATGAACAGTCGCCACGCTATTAATATTTTCGGGTGAAATTTTTAACACGAACATAAGGCAAGAACAATTTTCGCAAAATCCTAAAAAATCCCAGAACTGAGATGGCGTTTAGTTTTTGATTATATGGGAACAGGTGACTGTAATCATGCTCACAATTGGACGGATTTCTACCAAACGGAGCTATGTGCATTAAGACATGATCCCTAAGACCCATAAGAATACATGCATAACGGGGCTCACGTCATAATGCAAATAGTTCCGTTTGACAGAAATACGTCCAATTATTTCATCGATAACGACACGCAACAAAAATGATCATAAAGGCAAAGAAGAGTTCCTTACCTCCCAAGACCCGAAACCCATTGCTGTTGGTCTATTTTCCACTTGATCTAAAGACAGAGGCAATAGACTAGTCAGTTAAATAAAATATTTCAGAGTTCCTTCGAGCGCGAAATATTTTTCAGGAGGAAAGCACACACATTTATTATTGTGGTAGTAATTTTGATCAGTTTTTTGACTACACCTTTAGGAATCTTTAATGAAATTGAAAAATATTCCTGACATGCGACAAGTTCTCCGGTTTTCTTCTTGGAAACAGTGGCGTAGCGTTTTTTGCGATACATCGATTGATCTACCATTTAAACACATGATAAAAGATCGATAAACTGGGTGTTCGCAATGAGCACCTCAATAATCGATTCTTTACCACAGCTTCAAATGGGGAAAAATCGATGATCGATCCTGTACGACTCGCCACTGCTCGGAAATGTTTTGCGTGAGAAGTAACACTGTAACTATGATAAGATTCTCTTTCCTGACGTGGCAGAACAATTTGGAGTAAATATCACCTTAATATTTGGGGCAAAAATCACCCCGCATTTGAACACTCATGCCACAATCCCAATCATGTTGAGATGGGGTCCAAACATCCTCCCTGAAAACTCCTACGAATTTATCGACGTTAAATGCGTCAATTTTGGTCGCTGAAGTCAATTATTTAGTCATTAGTCATTATATAGTACTCTGTTATGTGCCGATAGTTGTACGAACCCTGAATTCAGGCGCTTGACCCCAGAAAGGCACCTTAAGCACGCATCAACATAAGAAATGTACAGTTGGTTTTTTAGATCCTCAAGAGGCCTGTGAAAAAGGTCTGGGTTTGCCCTACCCCTTGGATTGATTTTTACTGATTGGTTGCATCTTTTCTGCAGTGGCGAGCTTTGCGATATATCGATTGATCTGCCATTTAAACCAATGGAAAAGGATCGATCAACAAGGTCTTCGCGACGAACTCCTTAATAATCGATTCTTTACTATAGCTTCAAATGGGGAGATATCGATAGTCTATCATTCAGGCCTCGCCACTGCTTTTCTGCAAACGATTGTGATGGGTAGTAACAGTGCCTTAAACCTTATTTACCGGCTGAATGAGGGGTCACTGTAGAAAAAAACCAAAGTCAAATAGATTGTAATCTAGTCATTTAATTGTAAACTGTAGTGAAGAATTTGTTTTTGTACACGTTTGTTCGGATCTTATTACAATAAATAATACTTGAGGGCAATTCCTATGAAATTTGTTTCAAAATTTGGGCAACCATTTTTGAGTTTCGACTAGCGTCACCTACGAGTGCGCTTTAAACGCGTGATGTCTTTGATGGAATTGCATTGAGTTTGTGAATAGCAAAAATCGGTGGCATTCATCAAGTATTGATCCACAAAAAAATTGACGAAAAAATCCTCAAATTTAAAAAGTTCACGGTAAATTAATACACATTTTTGAAACTAAGTGAGTTTTCGATTGATCGAGTCCAATTATCACGACATCTGGAGAGGTGTCTCAACTAAAAACAAAATGATTCAGAATTCAACGAGTAGAAGTTTTCTAGAAAGCTGAAAATGTTTCTTCATTTTTATAAAATTCACTTCTAATTATGTTTTTCTCAGTCAAAAAACTACGACTTTCGAACAAACAATATAAAATGATGGACTAATTATACAAAACATTTTACTGCTTTCTAATCGAAAATCCAAAAGTTTTGATTCAAAAGAACTAAGAGACTTGTTTGCTCTAGGTTAAACCCTCACCAGACCTCATGGATCCTCGAATTCCCCGAAGTAGGAAAGATAAGAATATCTCGTTGTAGCTCTTAAGTATTATGTAAAATGTAAATAAATAAAAAAATTAAAAACTGTGAAACTTTGTGCTATTCTTTAATTCAAATTAATTATGCATGCAATCCTGATGTTAGTTGAATTTACATTTATGTTTACATAGATATTTGTGTTGCCATAAAGTCATCGTGATATTAATCGAAACGTTAATGCTAATTTCCTTTTTTTCGCATCAGATAATTAATTTGAGAGCAACCAAGAAGATGCGACCAATGTTAATTTGCAAATAAACTTTTAGGTCCCGTTATATACCGCAGTTGCCTGACCTACCTAAGGATATTGGAAGCAAAAAAACCCAATTTACATAAAAAGAAAATACAGATAAATATTCAGTTAATAATATCTGAAACAACATTCGAATGATCAGTGCGTTTTGGTTCGTAGTGAGTTCAAAAGGGGGAGGGGGGGGGTGGTGGTTGAGCATTTTCACGTGAAAACTATAGTGGCGAGGCGTGTATGATCGATTATCGATATTCCCCATCTTGAGCTATGGTAAAGTATCGATTATTACACAGGGTGTTCGTTGCGAACACCGTATGTATCGATCCATTTCCATACGCTTATGGCAGATCAATCTATACATCGCAAAGCACGCCACGCCACTAGAGGCAAACACTTACGGGTTCTTTTTATAATTCCCTTAAAAAAGAAATCCCTATCCACATTATAGAGTAAGTTTCAACGTTAAAGTTCATTTTATTCCTCATTAGGTCACTAAACTTAGTGGTTTTCATTTTGCCATGATGAGAGTTTAATCCGACGAGACATAAAAAGCGCCTGCAATACACACACTAGTCAACCTTTCATTCTTGCGTGTTGGTGGCATGGCACCGTTGACAAGGCGCATGATATTTTCACAAGCTGTTTATACAGCGAAACTTGTTAACGAGGAGAAGAAGCATGAACAAATCGCTCGCCTAAGATAGAATGTGCAGTGTATTTTCTAAAATACATAAATATATGTTTATTTAGGATTAAGAACAACGGTTTTTTACATAATTGAGAATACAAAGGAGACTTGCAGAATACGACGAATCAGAAATGGGCAATTTGAATCTTTAAAGCTTTTGCCTGTTGCTTTTGCTTTTGATGACTTAATGATCGAATATATCATCAGTGTTGCCACGATATAGCAAACATGGATCAGATAAAGAGAATGCGTTTTGCAAAAGGAAAAATACTTTCCAGGGAAAAGAGGACTGAAAAAAAAAAAACACATTGGATCTAGAGTCCAGACTCTCAAGAACATCGAAAAGAAAAAATACTCTTGATTCAATCAGATTTAAGCTTAAATCAAGAACCAAGCCTCTTAATTTGAGCGGATTTCCTTTTGATTTAAACTTAAATCTAATTGAATCAAGAGTCCTTATTCTTGTCAATGTTTTCAAGAGTCTGGACTCTAGATCCAATGTGTTTTTTTCCAGTGAGACCAATAAAAATTTAGTGTGTAGTCCTTGAAAATTTACATAAATTAGAGAAGAAGGGAGGCACTCTGTAACGTGTCCTAAAACTGAGGAAGGTAAAAAAATATGGCAAGGAGTATCAGATATTTGTCAATGTAATGTACCAATATATATTTACAGTCACTTTCAATATATAGAAGAGGAATATGCCGCTTAGCACCAACGCAGAAAAGGCAAGGACCGTGTTACAGGAGATCATAAAATTGAAGGTAGAAAGGCCTATCGTCTGGAAAGTGAGCGTCGACAAGCTTCGTGACTGCGGCCCGATTGTTGAATCGATATCGAATGACCATGGTCGATAGAAAGCATTGCTAAGATACGGATGTATCGATCAAGATTCGATTGTAGAATCGATATCGAATGACCATGATCGATAAAAAGTATTGCTCAGATAAGGATGTATCGATCAAGATTCGATTGTTGAGTCGATATCAAATGACCGTGATCGATAAAAAGTATTGCTTAGACAGGGATGTATCGATCAAGATTCGATTGTTGAATCGATATCGAATGACGATGATCGATAAAAATCGATGAAGATCGATGATCAGGATCATTCGATAGACGATTCAACAATGGACCACTAGACAAGGTATGAATTTTAGCATTCTGATACATGTTTCTTCACCAAAATTTCACGTAAAACACGATGCGCACAACGAAAATTACCGAAATCAACTCCTCCCGAAGATATTTAATGATTCTTGGTGCGTGAATTGAAACAACCCGCTCATGAAAACTCAATGCTCTACGTGATTCACATCGCCCGCTAAACGTTATCATGAACGTCTCTGCGATAAAAAAATCTGGCAACCTCAATCTTGACACTTTGGCTCAGCTATAGTAAATTACTTATAGTTTAAAAAACACATGGTGGGAAATGAACATTGCTCGATTAAGAAGCTCGCTGAAACCGTTGTAGTGCGCGATTTGACTCACGTAGAGCTTTGAGTTTCCTGTGAGCGGGCAGTTCAAGTTCCTCTTAACCAATGTAAAATAAAAATGTTAATATCTCTGTTAGGAGATGGTTTCAGTAAATTTCGTTGCGCGAATCGTTTTCTACGTGAAATTCTGGTTAAGATACATGTATCAGGTTGCTTAAATTCGTACCTTGTCTAGTGGTCCATTGACCCGCTGGACGGCAGAGCTGGAGATGTTCGAGATGACCGGAGACGAGAACGGCCATTTTGTAACGTGTCCATGGAGTAGCGGAGAAGAAAGCTCGGACCCTTGCCTTTGCTGGAGAGTGCTGAGGATAAAGTTAGAATTATACAAAATGTTTCCTGTTGAATAATTCTTTTGAATCGCAGTAAAATACCTCTCCACCGAAAAAAATCGACGTTTTGAACAGATTACACGAAATACATTGCGAATAAACATTTCAAATTGAATCGCGACAAATAATGCAAAAAGAAAGAAAAACAAAACAAAACACGAAGAATAAACATTATGAAAAATACTGCGGATAATTACGCGAAAAAAAGATTGCTGAAACATAGTCGTTACTGTGATAAGCGAGCTATATAAATGCCATTATTTGGAGTTTAATTATTGTAATATTTAATTGGAAAAAAAGTAAAACTAATAAAATAAAACGATTATATGAATATACAATATAATATTTAAGTTTAAAAATTAGGCAAATAATTAGTTTCCAGCTGTTTATACCTAAATCTTGTCCCGTCATTCTTATTGTATCCAGAGTCATCTCCGATACTCTCCACGTCTTCTCCTTGTCCCTCCAATATAATGCAAAAAGAAGAAGAAGAAAAAACCACGAAGAATAATAAACATTATGAAAAATACTGCGCATAATCGTGAAAAAAGATTGCTAAAACATAGACGTTACTATAAAAAGCGAGCTATATAAATGCCATTATTTGGAGGATAATTATTTTAATATAAATGATAATATGAATACACAATTTACATTTAGATTAAAAATTAAGCAAATAATTAGTTTCCAGCTGTTTATACCTAAATCTTGTCCCGTCATTCTTATCGTATCCAGAGCCATCTCCGATACTCTCCAAGCCTTCTTCCTTGTTCCTCCGATAAACCGTGTTCCTTAGATGATAGAACGGACCTTGTTGCATCCCTGCTCCGATTTGCACGACTTGAAGGAACGGGAATGTGGGTGAACCACCGGGTCGCGAGCTTCGCGGGGAAAAGCGAGTCCTCCCGGTTCTTCTCAAGTCTTTCACTCGATTCATTGCAATATTTTCCCGCATACTATGATGAATAATGATAACTTACAATGGTTATGATAATGAGAACAAGAAAGATGTGAAACACTTGGCACAATAAAAAAAAAAAAAAATTTCACTGTAGTTGCACTGCTCCGTCACTTAACGTGGCGCACTCAATCCTTCAACTTCGAAAACTGACGCTTGCATTGAACCTCTCGTTGGATACGAGGGCTGTTTTTCTTGAACTCCTATGAAAATAATCCTCGAGTTCAAAAGATCGTGACCTAAACTGCCGTGCCAAGAAAGAACGCCGTATGAACATTCGAGAATTGCCAAATTTCCCCGAGTAAAACATGTATTTTTGAAAAAGTTAATGCGTATTTCCCCTTGAAATTTTCCCATATTTTAGACTGCATTGGGAACAAAATTGTCCGGAAAAATTTGAGGAAAAATATTCAGAATTTTCCCAGTAAAATTGTTGATTATTAAAGGAATTAGGCAACGCCTGAGGGCTCATACGGCGTTTTTCCTTAGCACGGCAGTAAATTAGAATTAAAAAAAAAACGTTGTATTCGTAAGTCAACATCGATAATATAGGACGGCTGAAAAAATTTACGTCCTCTGTCATCGTTTCACCTGTGATTCTAAAATAATAACCTCATTAGGTGGCATAATGAGGATCAATGTGATGTGAGTAAACAAAGAGAAGTCGCCGGTACCGGGGGTTGCGGAGCGTAAACATCTGGCTGTCCACACAGCCGAGTGTCGTGTTTTCAGGTCTAAAAAAAAAGTGGGTAGCTCCGGTAGGCAGTGACGTCATCTGCTTGAAAACTCAGCAGAGTATATGAATCTTCGAATTTGCTTCGAAAAAGTCTCCTATTTTGCTAGCTGTTTAATTGCGTCGAAAAAATCGCCGTAGAGAAGGTGATCGATTTTCATCATCACTTCGGCGCACAGTGGATTGAGTTAATCAAAGAAGTCGGACATGGAATTTTTGACTGAACGGCAAATTTTGATGTATATTTCGTCACCTTTTGAATTTCAAGGGATGCTTCCGGAAGAAAATTTTACGAGAAAACCAATGAAATCACTTTTAGAACCTCAAAATTGTGTATAAACGGAGTTATAAGCTTTAAAAGTTTCCAAATTTTGTCTGACCTCTCCTATCGGCTCGATCCACTGTGCGACGGTCGCAATTGGATGAATTTTATTTCGATAAAGTTCAATTATTAGAACGATCAAATGAATATGTAAGGGGCGAATGATTAGGCTATATAAGTCATTAATCAGTCATTTTTGATAGTCCGAAATAGTTCCCCCTAAATTTTGTTGGCAAAATTTTCAAGATGGGGATTACAGGCTGGACGATTTCC